CAGGAAATCCATTTCATAGTTTGCAGCCAGCTACAACGTGAGGGCTGAGTTAGCAGCACTGTGTCTAACAGCTAACCAACTTATCATCTAAACATGTCCGCTGTGTGGAAATATTTTACACTAGAAACACCACAAAACAAGACAGCAACGTGCAATGTCTGCAGAGCTGCTGTACCGAGAGGAGGAATCTCCATTGCGACAACAAACTTAATCAAACATAACACATTAAACCACGGTAAAGTTAGTCTTACATTGGACAATTGAGCTTCGGGGCTTCAGCGGCGTGTTCTTGTTCAGTCCGAAGCAGACATTTTGATTTTGGTCTACCCGTCTCGGAGGAGGGGCAGACTGAGCGAGGCTGACCAAAACCAGGCTCTTTGCTTTGGACTGAACAAGAGGACATCGCTGAAGCCCCAGAGCTTGAATGTTTACCAAGAAGTTGCTAAACTTCATCATAATTAATGACCAACCACTATCAGTTGTAGAAAACAAAGGATTTCTCAGCTTGACACTTGCAGCCAAGATATACTGTAGTTTACCCTCCAGGAGATATGTATCAGTACAACAGTAGACAATCATAATATAAATTGAAAATTACAAGAAAATTATATATATAAAAAAAACAAATAAAAAAAAACAGCTACATTATAAAGCGATGTAAAATACTAAAAACAGGAACATGCCTGTGTTGGTTTATGTCATGAACTTAGCAAATGTTTGAAGCCATTTAATCACTTTAATATCCACTTTAAAACTAGGAATAAAAAGAAACATGTTTTGTGTTAGCAGAATTTAATTCTAACTTTAAAACTTATCCAACATTAATAAAACTTACTTCAAGTTGCCTTTTTGGACATGCATGAATATATTTGTACAAATTGTACTTGAGAGGAGATTATTACAGCCTCATATCAAATCAATGATGATGATGATGATATCTTGTAGTGAACTAGGCCTCCGACCAAAACCTGCCTCTGAAGACCTTCATGGGACAGGAACTGTTATTACATTGATTTGACTCCAGAAATACAAATTAGCTCATCCAGAGACTTTCTAATTGTATCCTGAACTAATCAATTGAAAGAACACTCTCTTTTTTATATTCATCCATCCATCCATCCATCCGTTTTCTTCCGCTTATCCGGGGTCGGGTCGCGGAGGTAGCAGCCTAAGTAGGGAAGCCCAGACTTCCCTCTCCCCAGCCACTTGGGCCAGCTCTTCCGGGGGAATCCCGAGGCGTTCCCAGGCCAGCCGAGAAACATAGTCCCTCCAGCGTGTCCTGGGTCTTCCTCTGGGCCTCCTTCCGGTGGGACATGTCCGGAACACCTCACCAGGGAGGCGTCCAGAAGGCATCCTAAACAGATGCCCAAGCCACCTCAACTGGCTCCTCTCGACGTGGAGAAGTAGCGGCTCTACTCTGAGTCCCTCCCGGATGATCGAGCTTCTCACCATGTCTCTAAGGGAGAGCCCAGACACCCTGCGGAGAAAACTCATTTCGGCCACTTGTATCCGAGATCTCATTCTTTCGGTCACAACCCAAAACTCATGACCATAGATGAGGGTGGCAACGTAGATCGATCGGTAAATTGAGAGCTTCGCCTTTTGACTCAGCTCTCTCTTCGCCACGACAGACCTGTACAGCGCCGCTTCACTGCAGACGCTGCACCTATCCGCCTATCGATCTCACGCTCCATTTTTCCCTCATTCGTGAACAAGACCCCAAGATACTTGAACTCCTCCACTTGGGGTAGGACCTCCTCCCTGACCCAGAGAGGGCACTCTACCCTTTTCCGGCTCAAGACCATTGCCTCGGATTTGGAGAAACTGATCTTCATCCCGGCCGCGTCGCATTCGGCTGCGAACCGCTCCAGCGAAAGCTGTAGATCACGATCTGATGAAGCCAATAAGACCACATCATCTGCAAAAAGCAGAGACGCAATCCTAAGGCCACCAAAACGGATCCCCTCAACACCTTGGCTGCTCCTAGAAATTCTGTCCATAAAAGTTATGAACAGAATTGGTGACAAAGGGCAACCTTGGCGGAGTCCAACTCTCACAGGGAACAAGCCCGACTTACTGCCGGCGATGCGGACCAGGCTCTGACACCGGTCATACAGGGACCTAACAGCCCGTATCAAAGGGCCCGGTACCCCATATTCCCAGAGTACCTCCCACAGGGCCCCCCGAGGGACGCGGTCGAACGCCTTCTCCAAGTCCACAAAGCACATGTAGACTGGTTGGGCAAACTCCCACACACCCTCCAGGACCCTGCTGAGAGTGTAGAGCTGGTCCAGTGTTCCACGGCATAGACGAAAACCGCACTGCTCCTCCTGAATCCGAGGTTCAACTATCCGACGGACCCTCCTCTCCAGAACCCCCAAATAGACCTTACCAGGGAGGCTTAAGAGCGTGATTCCCCTGTAGTTGGAACACACTCTACGGTCCCCCTTTTTGAATAGGGGGACCACCACCCCGGTCTGCCAATCCAGGGGAACTTCCCCCGATGTCCACGCAATATTGCAGAGTCGCGTAAGCCAACACAACCCTACAACATCCAGAGCCTTAAGGAACTCTGGGCGAATCTCATCCACCCCTGGGGCCCTGCCACCGAGGAGCTTTTTAACCACCTCGGTGACCTCAGCACCAGAGATTGGAGGGCCCGACCCAAAGTCCCCAGGCTCCGCTTCCTCAGTGGAAGACGTGCCGCGGTGGGATTGAGGAGGTCTTCAAAGTATTCTGCCCACCGACCCACAACATCCCGAGTTGAGGTCAGCAGTACACCACCCCCACTATAAACAGTGTTGGTGGCGTACCGCTTTCCCCCCCTGAGACGCCGGATGGTGGACCAGAATCGTCTCGAAGCCGTGCGGAAGTCGTTCTCCATGGCCTCTCCGAACTCCTCCCATGCCCGAGTTTTTGCCTCAGCAACCACCCGAGCCGCATGTCGCTTGGACTGCCGGTACCCATCAGCTGCTTCCGGGGTCCCACAGGCCAAAAAGGCCCGATAGGACTCCTTCTTCAGCCTGACAGCATCCCTCACCGACAGTGTCCACCATCGGGTTTGAGGGTTGCCGCCGCGACAGGCACCGACAACCTTGCGGCCGCAGCTCTGGTAAGCCGCCTCGACAATAGAGGCACGAAACATGGTCCACTCAGACTCAATGTCCCCCACCTCCCTCGGAACATGTTCGAAGTTCTCCCGGAGGTGGGAGTTGAAACTCAGTCTCACAGGAGACTCTGCCAGACGTTCCCAGCAAACCCTCACGATATGTTTGGGTCTGCCAGGTCTGACCGGCATCCTCCCCCACCATCGGAGCCAACTCACCACCAGGTAGTGATCAGTTGACAGCTCCGCCCCTCTCTTCACCCGAGTGTCCAAGACATGTGGCCGCAGATCAGATGAGACGATGACAAAGTCGATCATCGAACTGCGGCCTAGGGTGTCCTGGTGCCAAGAGCACATATGGACACCCTTATGCTTGAACAAGGTGTTTGTTATTGACAATCCACGATGAGCACAGAAGTCCAACAACAGAACACCACTCTGGTTCAGATCAGGGGGGCCGTTCCTCCCAACCACACCCCTCCAGGTCTCACTGTCATTGCCCACATGAGCATTAAAGTCCCCAGCAGAACAAGGGAGTCCCCAGAAGGTGCACTTTCCAGTACCACCTCCAAGGACTCCAGAAAGGGTGGATAATCTGAAATGCTGTTTGGTGCATAAGCACAAACGACAGTCAGAACCCGTCCCCCCACACGTAGGCGGAGGGAGGCCACCCTCTCATTCACTGGGGTGAACCCCAATACACAGGCACCAAGTTGGGGGGCAATAAGTACGCCCACGCCTGCTCGGCGCCTCTCACCAGGGGCAACTCCAGAGTGGAAGAGTGTCCAGCCCCTCTCAAGGAAACTGGTTCCAGAGCCCGAGACATGTGTAGAGGTGAGTCCGACATTTTCTAGTCGGAACCTCTCAGCCTCACACACCAGCTCAGGCTCCTTCCCCACCAGTGAGGTGACATTCCACGTCCCAATAGCCAGCTTCTGTAGCCGAGGATCAGACCGCCAGGGTCCCCGCCCTCGGCCACCACCCATCCCACATTGCACCCGACCCCTTTGGCCCCTCCTACAGGTGGTGAGCCCATGGGAAGGGGGACCCACGTCTCCTCTTCGGGCTGTGCCCGGCCGAGCTCCATGGGCCACCAGGCGCTCGCCCGCGTGCCCCACCTCCAGGCCTGGCTCCAGAGTGGGGCCCCGGTGACCCACGTCCGGGCAAGGGAACACTAGGTCCATTTATTTGTGTCATCATCAGGGTCTTTGGGCTGCACTTTGTCTGGTCCCTCACCTAGGACCTGTCTGCCATGGGTGACCCTACTAGGGGCATAAAGCCCCTGACAGCATAGCTCCTAGGATCATTGGGACACTCAAACCCCTCCACCACGGTAAGGTGGCAGCCCAGGGAGCGGCTCTTTTTTATATTATCATTACTATTTTACAATATCTTGATAATCAAAAGTGTGTTTAGTTCATACCATTTTAAATGTTGAAATGAACCACTCATTTTAAATCAACTGTGAAACAGTATTAATGTTTTTTTAATCCTCATTCAAAGTAGAAATCAAGTTAAATGTCTGTTATAAAGTAATTATGCATTTTTGACCTTCTGTCTGAAATGAGAAGAGTGATGTCGGTCAAAAGTCGGAGACAGTCAAAAACAAGTTATTGGAACGAGCTGTCGTGTTTTTAAACCTCTCAGACAGAAACAAGAGAACTGGCACCTGTAGTGTTTCTCACTTCGTCAAAACATTTCTCTGTCTGTTCCTAAACATTTCTTATGTTTTCTCGACTTGTAAAAACCCTTTGACGTCACTAAAACCACACCCCTGTTGGTTCCTTCAACCAATCAGGACTTCTTAAAAGTGACCGGAAGCAGAACTCTTTAAAAGTCGACACTTCCTGGAACTGTGAGTTCGGTTAGTCCCTCTTAGTTCCGTTAAGTCTCTCTAAGTTCCGTTAGTTCTTCTAGTTCTGATGGAGTTCAGCTGTAGTTCCTCGGAGTTCTTCTGGAGTTCCCTGAGTTCAGTTAGTTCTTCTGGTTCTGATGGAGTTTGGCTGGAGTTCCTCGGAGTTCTTCTGGAGTTCCTCTGAGTAGAGTTGGGATTATGGAGTCTTCCACATCTGAGTGGAACCTCTGACGGACTCACAGCTTGCTGTGTATCCACCCGGGAGATGCGCGTGTTGTTGAACGGAGTACCGTCACTACTTCGGATGATTCTCAGCCATCCTGAGGAGACGCTGAAAGGTAGCGTTGAAATGGAACTCCGTATCGGAGCTGACCTATCTTCTGCAAAGGTAACGAGTCGCTTCACTACCGAGTGTACCGGGGCTGAGCTGGGGTTGGATGAAGGGTGCCATTCCTCGTCAACACACTTTCTTCCTCCACATTTTCTCTCCATTCAAACTCCTTCATTCCCCATCTTTAAAACTCTTCTATCTTGCCAGTAATTAATCCAGATGCCTTCAGAAATGTCTGTTGTTTTTATTAAGTAAAACGTGCCAAGTTTTATTAATCAGAACCAGATCTGTCTAATCAAGTGTACAATGTTTTGATGTTAAATTTTCATTCTGTTAATAAATGACCACATTTATTTTGATGGGTCAAAGAAAATTAACGTCTCATGTCACTGATTAAACCATCTACGCACAGCACCCTGTCACATATCTGTCAAGTAGCTCGAAAAAAGAGAGAACCCGTTATTTAAATAAAATTGTAGTGGAGCTCTGAAGCTAACCAAGCTAATCGAGCCTTTTAGCACACTACAATCGGGACGGGATCAGTCGATATTCAGATTTAGGTTTTGGGATCGGATTGGAACTAAAAAAATGTGGATCAGTGCATCCCTAATATTATTTAAATTTGTTTTGCTTACTTTATAAATCTACCCCCCCCCCCCCGCCCCCAACAAAAAAAACAAAAAACAAAAAAAACTTCAGGTTATGTTACTCTTGATTTTTGAATATTAACAATAAACTCTAGTTGCGGTCGTCTTCCTTTAAAAGTTCTAAAATAAAACTATCATATATGTTTCTCTTCTTCTGAAATAAAATAAAAACTCCACGTGTTCCTTTCCTTACATTTCTAATCCAACATAAATAAATAAAAAATCTCTGAGATGAGATTCTATTATAAATAGAAATTCAGACTTTTCTTTGTCCTTAAATTAAAAGCAAACTTGGAATGTGTTCTTCCTTTTGCATAAATGTGAACCAAAAGTTGTTCTTGCCTTTTGTGAATGTAAAATAAAAATGTTTTATTGGTTTGTTTACCTGTTGAGCCTGGGAGAAGGATGGGGCAGTGGCAGGCACCAGGATGTTTCTGCCAGCCTCGGACAGCTGACCATGTCGTCCTGCACCCCACAGAAAAACATCACACTTCCCCCCCAGGTGCCAGTCCTGTAAACAACATTCACAGGTGAGCAATAGAAGATCTCAGCTGCAATAGCAAAAACCCAAGTGATGGTTCAACCTCAGGTCGAGAGATGGCCCAGGACATGACTTGCTCATCCATACCAGATGCCCATTTGCTGTTGTCCTGGAAACACATAGACCATAATAGTTAGATGAACCCATGATTTTTATCTTACAACCTTTTGAGTCATGAGGGTTCCTCACCATGACCAGAGCCACGTCCTCTTTGGGCACTAGCTCCAGGTCTGGAACGCTGAAGGATTCGGTGAAGGTGGCTCCTTGAGCAAGGGCCTCAGCTGCTTTCACTGTTGTGGAGAAACAGTCGAGCCACGCCCACTCACTGGCACTCCACACTGCAGTGCCAGACTCTGGTGGACAATGACGCAGGTGAGGGGGCACAGGAGGGCGGCACAGGAGCTGGTCCAGGTGGAGGCCCACTGCCAGGGAGGCAAGGCATTGCATATAGGGGCTGTGAACCAGCTGCTCCCCGCAGACAACATGGGGCTGAAGACAACATCAGAAGTAGACCATTTTAAACTGTTACATACAGTATGATCAGTATATTTAACAAGAAATCAGGTCATTTTATTAAGACTCTTCTCAGGGAAACTTGGTTTAAATTTTTACTTTACATTTTCATATTTAGCTTCTTAAAGCAACGACAGACAGCTCTGTAAAAATTCCTGATGCAATCAGCATTTCTTTTTAAAGGGGTCAAATTTTCCACGGAATAAATAATTATCTGAATTAATAATTCTCAATTAATAATTAACTAATTAATAACTAATTACTAATAACACTGAATTAATAATTATCCACTGAAGCGATTCTGATGAATACATAAACTGTTACCTATGGTACTGTTTAGAGCCCGACCGATATATTGGTAGGGGCTGACATTTTAGGCCGATATAGGCATTTGGGAACATGCAGGTATTGGTGATAACTGTCCCATTATGTGCTGATATAAGCACTTATAATTTTCACCTCTAAAATGCTGGAACCAGTCATTCGAATTCTAATTCTGAATTCTAGAATTGCACCGCTCCAGGTGGCTGCATGTTAGAGCAGCTCTACTTTCATTCTGAGATTTTGATTTTGGAAACTTTAATTCCTCTTTTTTCTGGATGTAAATCACATTTGTTGGATGTCTGTTTCCTCTGGTATCAGATGCTGTGCAGCTGGAAGGATTTTTACTGAAATTTTTTTAGTTTTGGACATTTGTTATGATGTGTAACCATAGCAACAAGGCAGCTTTCTACAATCAACAGCTGATTAACATCTCAAAAGCTCAAATAATATCTCAGCTACAGCCCCAAATCTCAAATGAGTTGAAAGGATGTTCTGTGGACGCATTCTCATCTACCTGCCAGCTGTGCTCGAGTGCCTGACCACTGAGATCCTGGAACTAGCAGGAAACACGGCTCATGACAGCAGAAGAACAGGATCGTCCCTCAGCACCTACAGTTGGCTGTCCGCAGTGACGAGGAGCTCGGCAGACTGCTGGGAGGAGTGACCATCCCACTGGGAGGAGTTCTGCTCGGCATTTGGGCGGTCCTACAGCCCGAGGGGAACCGAGAGGCCAGCCGAGTCTGGGTGGACGGATCAGACGGCATCTGCAGCCAGTTTCTTAGGATCCACTGTGGGATGGATCTTTACAAGAGATCCTTCCTGTCTACAGCCATCAGCATCTATAACATCTCTTAATGAAATGAGGATAACGAGTTACAACAACAAATAATTTCCCTTTGGGATTAATAAAGTATTTTCGAATTGAATTTGAATTGAAGATGGAGCTACAAGCTGGAGCAACAACACCACCAGCCTGATCAAGAAAGCTCATCAGAGACTCTACTTCCTCAGACGGCTGAGGCGAGCTGGTCTGGGAAGCTCAGTCCTCACCTCCTTCTACAGGTGTGCAGTGGAGAGCATCCTGTGCTCGAGCATCAATGTGTGGCATGGAGGCTGCACAGCTGCAGAAAGAAAAGCTTTGCAGAGAGTGGTGAAGGCTGCACAGAAATCTGTCGGAATCAGTCTCCCCACCATCACAGACATCTACACCTCCAGATGCAGGAAGAGGGCCACCTGCATCATGAAGGACCTCACTCACCCAGCACACACACTTTTTGCCCCACTCCCCTCAGGAAGGAGGTTGAGGAGCATTAAGTGTAGAACCACTAGACTGAGGAACAGCTTCTACCCCGAGGCTGTTAGACTCATGAATCTCTAACCAGAATAATCACTGTGAAAAACCATATCATGTTGCTGCTGATCTGTTTCATGTTGCTGCTGATCTGTTTCAATGTTGATGTGTTCATGCGTGCACATCTGCTCACAGACTCATGTTCATGTTTGTGCTGATGTTCAATGTTTTATGTTATGACTGCTTAGTGTATATTTAGTTGATGTTTTTCTTAGTTCATATCTTAGATGTTATTACTGTTTTTCTTATACATTTTATTGTTGGATGTAACTGGGACCCTGTGTACATAATTTCGCTCCACCACATGTACCACATGAGGTGCGAATGACAATAAAGAAACTCTGACTCTGACTCTGACTCTGAATTGAACTGAATTGAATTGTACAATGTATCCAGCAAATGGCGCATGAAGACTACTTTCAAGTCATGGCCATTCACTTAAGTTTCACTTTCAGCACAGGTGAAACAGGGAGCAATACTGTGTAGAGTATTATGTTGAACAGATCATAGTAAGTTTATTGAAAATGATCTGTAAAAATGTTTAAAAAGTCAATAATAAATTCTCTTCAATACTCCAACCCACTTGTCATTAGCTACGTGCCTCTCAAGTTAGCAAGCTAACGTTTAGATAACCTAGCATAGGTTATTGCCTTGTAAAAATTTATCCAGAACAACAAATCTAACATAAAGCTAAAATATATCACTGTTTGTAACGTTATCTTTGTCATCCTCAATGAAATACATTGTCTAAAATCTTCTCTACAAAGAAAAACAAACATTGTTGCAGTCAATACGAATTAAACCTTCACCATATGTGACTGTTTAAACAATGAACATGGAAGGTGTTTCTTTGTTTAATTTATATTTTTCTAACACACTTGATAATGTTATGATGAAAAGTTAAGAATAGAAAATGTGAACGCACGTTAGGATGACTGTTTTTATGACCATTGCTCCACATGTCAACCTAGAGAGGGTCTAGGTATAGCATGGATCTGATTAGCTTAGCTTCATGGTTGCTAACAGCTGCACTAAATAAACAAGCTTCGATTCACTCACAGTTTACTTTTAAATTGTCAGCTGTTATATCGGTTATCGGCAGTGACCAGTGAAAGCAGTGAAAGCAGAGAAGAAACCCAAACAGGACTCCAGTCAGCCATCAGGTGAAAAGGAGGAACCCAGACCAGTGGTCATTCCGTATGTTGAGGGAGTATCAAGTCAAGTCAAGTCAGATTTATTTATAGAGCACATTTAAAACAGAAACTGTTACCAAAGTGCTTAACAAAAATATCACAACATCAAATAAAAAGTAGCTACTGTAGATATATTTACTGCACATGGAATAAAAACATAAAACCAAAAACAATTAGAAACAATGAAATACTAAATCAGATCTGATGACCTTGTGTTAAATAGGAATAATAACAAAAGCATAAACAGAATCAGCATCAATGAAAAACTAGATCTAAAGCTGATCACCCTGTGTTAAATGTCAGTGAGTACAGATGTGTCAGTGAGTACAGATGTGTTTTTAGGAGAGATTTAAAAGCAGAGACTGAGGTGGCCTGTCGAATGTTGATGGGCAGATTGTTCCAGAGTTTAGGGCCCACGACTGAAAACGCTCGATCTCCTCTGAGCTTCAGCTGGTTTTTGGTACGGCCAAAAGCAGCTGGTCTGATGATCTCAAAGCCTGAGAAGGAGCATAAGGATGAAGAAGGTCGGAGAGGTATGATGGTGCAAGGCCGTTAATGCACTTGAATGCCAGCAGGAGAATTTTAAAATCAACTCTGACACATACAGGAAGCCAGTGAAGAGAGGACAGAACTGAAGTACTGTGCTCAAACCTGTGAGTTCCTGTTAGTAGCCGAGCTGCAGCATTTTGTACGAGCTGGAGACGTGAAAGTGAAGCCTGACTAACCCCAACATAAAGTGAGTTACAGTAGTCCAGCCGGGTTGTAATAAATGCATGGACTAGTTTTTCAAGGTCGGATCTGGACAGAACGGACTTAAGCTTTGCTATCTGCCTTAGCTGAAAGAAGCTTTTTTGTAGAACAGAATTGATCTGTTTATTAAACTTAAAGTCCGAGTCTAACACTACCCCGAGATTGGTAACTGACTGCTTTAGATGAGGCTGAAGGGAGTGCAGGTTTACAGGATCAGTGGTAGAGCTTGGGTTAAACACAATGACCTCAGTCTTCTGATCATTAAAACTCAAGAAGTTTGCAGCCATCCAAGTCTTGATGCCATCAAGACATTTTAGCAAAAGGTGGATGGAGCAGGAACTGTTTGGTTTTGGTATCAGAGAAACTGAGACGTTTATTTTCTAAACACAACGTCCCAGTGGCTTTTAAACCCCAAAATACATTAAAGACTGGTTCATCCCAAAGATGATCTGAGCTGCAAACAGCACCTCAGACTGTTGATCTTTTTGAAGTCTCTTGCTCTGGTGCTGCTCCCCCAGCAGATGATGGCAGAAGAGACAGCTCTCTCTACAACAGACTTATAGAAGAAATGCAGCATCTTGCTGCAAACACTGAAGGATTTCAGCTTCCTCAAGAAGTACAGTCTGCTCTGTTCCTTCTTGTAGACGCTTCACTGTTGCATTTCCAGTACATTCGACTACTGCAGAGTCATCTGAATATTTCTGCAGATGACAGGAGTCTGTTTTGTACTGGAAATATGAGGTGTACAGAGTGAAAAGGAATGGTGAGAGTACAGTCCCCTGTGGTGCTCCTGAGCTACTGACCACCTGGTCAGACACACAACCTTCAGTCTCACAAACTGTGGTATGTCTGTCCGTCAGGTAGTCTTTGATCCAGGTGATTGTTGAGGCCTCCACCTGAGTCTTCTGGAGTTTCTGACAAAGCAGATCAGGCTGGATTGTGTTAAATGCACTGGAGAAATCAAAGAACACGACTCTCACAGTGCTGTCTGCCTTTTCTAGATGACAGTGAGTTTGCTGAAGCAGGTGTATGATGGCATCTTCAACTCCAAGTCCATGCTGATAAGCAAACTGCAGTGGGTCCTGATATGTGCTTGTTTGTTTAGTCAGGTGGGTCAGCAGAAGTCTCTCTAGGACCTTCACGATGTGGGATGTCAGGGCAACAGGTCTATAGTCATTGAGGACTGATGGGTGAGTTTTCTTTGGCACTGGAACAAGACAGGAGGTTTTCCACAACACTGGAACCTTCTCCTGGGTCAGGCTAAGGTTGAAGAGGTGCTGCAGAACCCCACAGAGCTGCTCTGCACAGACCTTCAGGACTCTGGGACTGACACCATCTGGACCTGCAGCCTTATTCTG